AGAATGTCCGTGTGAAAGGAGCTTTAATGTACTCCCTATTTCATGAAGGATCTTTTTTCCATCATTCCAACGTCAGCTACAAAAATTCTAGCAATGTGGGAAGGATAAACACAAAATACAGTCCAAAAATGTAATATTTCTTTATTTAAAAAATGAATAAAAAACATACAGTTATGCTTTGTTGAATGACTTCAAGGCAAATGAAATTCAGAACATTTAAGGTATTGTGAATGATACCTGGTTAAAGGAGGTGGATCCATTTTCGAGGACATTCTTTATTTGGTGAATGAAACACAATTATACAGAAAGATTGTGGACTTTGCAACATTGTATACTATTTGTATTATTATTATTATTATTATTATACAGGATTTATATAGCACCATCAGTTTGTACAGGTAGACATAAAAGTTACAATACAATTTGGTACAAGAGGAAACAGAGGGCCCTGCTCATTAGAGCTTACAATCTAGGAGGAAGGGTTGAGTGATACAAAATGTAATAGCTGTGGGGGATGAGCTGATGGTGGAAATAAAAGGCAGTTTACTAATTAGAAGCAGGATAGACTTCTTTAAAGAGAACGGTTTTTCAGGGATCATCTAAAGGTGGACAAATTAGGAGATAGGCAGACAGATTGGGGTCGTAAGTTCCATCAGATTGGAGAAGCTCGGGAGAAGTCCTGGAGGTGAGCATGGAAGGAGGTGACACGGGAACTAGAGAGCAGAAGGTCTTGGAAGGATCAAGACAGCGGTTTGGTAGATATTTTGAGACCAGGTTAGTGATGTAGCTGGGGGCAGAGTTGTGGATGGCTTTGTAAGTTGTTAGTATTTTGAATTTTATTTGTTGGGCGAGTGGAAGCCAGTGGAGGGATTGGCAGACAGGGGTAGCAGACACTGAACGGTTAGTAAGCTGGATGAGCCTGGTAGAAGCATTCATGATGGACTGGAGAGGGGATAGCCTATGTAAAGGTAAGCCGAATGAGGAGGTAGCTGCAGTAGTCGAGGCTAGAGATAACCAGGGAGTGAATTAGGAGCTTTGTGGTATCATTGCTTAAAAAGGGGCGTATTTTGGAGATGTTGCGGAGGTTGAGGCGGCATGATTTGGACATGGATTGGATGTGGGCCTGAAAGGATAATACAGAATCCAGGGTTACTGCTAGCACTCTGGAATGTGGGGATGGGTTGATACCCATCAGTCCCACCCCGCAAGCCAGAGTACTAGGTGTCATCGTAGACTCCAATCTGTCTTTCCAGCCTCAGGTCCAATCGCTGACAAACTTATGTAGACTCCACCTCCGCAACATCTCCAAAATACGTCCGTTCCTAATCCTGGAAACTACTAAGCAACTCATTCACTCCCTTATCATATCACAACTTGACTACTGTAACTTCCTCCTCACCGGCTTACCTCACCACAGGCTATCCCCGCTTCAGTCCATACTGGATACTGTGGCCAGACTCATCCACCTTACTAACCACTCCGTATCCGCCACCCCCCTCTGCCAATCCCTCCACTGGCTTCTGATTGCCCAGTGGATAAAATTTAAAATGCTAACACTGACGTACAAAACTGTTCATAACACTGCCCCAAACTACATCACCGACCTGATATCCAAATACCCCCCAAAATGTACTCTCCGCTCCTCTCAAGACCTCCTACTCTCTAGTTCCCTGGTCTCCTCCTCCCATGCTCGTCTCCAGGACTTCTCCAGGGCTTCCCCTGTCCTCTGGAACTCCCTACCCCAATCCATCAGACTATCACCTACTCTCTCACCTTTAGACGCACCATGAAAAAACCCAACTCTTCAGGGATGCCTACCCCGTCCTCAGCTAATTGCTGATCTCCTCCACTCTTCCTACCACTCCATCCCCCACAGCTATTTCCTCCTGTACCACTATCCCCTCCTCCTAAATTGTAAGCTCCATGGAGCAGGGCCCTCGAGCCCCTTGTGTATTGAATTGTATTGTTACTTTACTGTCTCGTGTACTGTCTCCCATTGTAATGTACAGCGCTGAGCAAACTGTTGGCGCTATATAAATACTGTATAATAATAATAATAGTGGTGCTATTGATCCTGACTGAGAAATCAGGGGACGAGGCATGTGGGGGAGGAAATATTATGAGCTCAGTTTTGGATAGATTGAGTTTTAGGTGTGACATCCAGTCTGATATGTCTGTTAGTAAATTGGTGATACTTGTTGAAACAGATGGGGTAAGTTGAGGAATAGAGAGATAGATTTGCGTGTCATCAGCATAGAAATGGTATTGGAAACCATGGGAAGCTATTAGCTGACCCAAGGAATACGTGTAGATCAAAAATAGGAGAGTTCCAAGGACAGAACCTTGGGGAACCCCGACAGTAAGAGGAGTAGGAGAAGAGGAAGTCGAGTTGTAAGTGACACTGAAGGTGCAGTGAAATAGGTAAGATTTGAACCAATGGAGAGTACAGTCATGTAGACCAAGTAAATAGAGTTTTTTGAGAAGGAGGGGGTGGTGAACTGTGTCAAAGGTGGCAGAGAGATCCAAGAGTAAGAGTATGGAATAGTGAACATTAGTTTTAGCGGTTAGCAAGTCATTTGAGAGTTTTAGGAGAGCAGTTTCTGTGGAGTGTTGTGGGCGAAATCCAGACTGAAGGGGATCGAGAAGGTTATTCTCAATAAGGTGGCAGCTCAGCCAGTTGTAGACTAGACATTCAAGGAGTTTGGAGGCAAAAGGGAGTAAGGAGATGAGTCTTAGGTTGCTAAGATTGGTGGGGTCCAGTGAGGCCTTTTTAAGTATGGGGGTGACTAGCACATGTTTTAGAGAGTTGGGGAAGATGCCAGTAGAAAGGGAGAGATTGAAGATATGAGTTAAAGAGTGAAGGATAGAGCCAGAGAGTGACCGTAGTATTGTGAGGGAACAGGGTCCAGGGGACAGGTGGTTAGGTGGGCTTTTGAAAAATGTTTACCAACCTCCTCTATAGTAGCTGGGTTAAACAAGGGCAGTATAGATTGTGCAGGTGGATAAGGAATGTAGGGTGAGGGAGATATCTGTACAATGGAGATCTTGTCACGAATTGTATCAATCTTATTTTTGAAGTGATTAGTGATCTCCCAGGCAGTGAATGAGTTAGTGTGTGGAGATAAAGAAGGACGAAGTAGAAAGTTAAAGGTGTCACCTATTTTACTTTAGCCCTGCTTGGCAGTTCCAAATCGCATGACAAGTCGCACTCTATTTGTGCCTATGGAACCATTCAAAACTGTACAACTCCGGCTTTTTGAAAAAACGGTTCCTGATAGACATCTGTGCATTAAGGTTTTTTAAATCAAACAGTAATAGTCTGTAGAATTTTTTTTTTGTTTTTTTTACTATGAGCTTGGCTTACATAAAGCAGAAATACCAAAATCTGATAATTTCAGTTTAATAATAGTTGTTTTTTTCTGGTAGTTGTGACAGCAACACATGCTTTTATTATCAAGCAATAATAGGCCTGCTTTGACCAATTGATCAATGGTTCACTGAAGCTTTCCCTGTTTTTGTTGATGCAATTCTTTCCTGACGCTGGCTAATTTTTACACAGCAGAGCTCCTGTATATCCTTTTTGATTTTTGTAGAAAAAAACACATGCAGTGCCTTATGTCTCTACCCTTCTGTCTAGTCTTGCTCATGAAAACTGGCTTGCTGCTGGCCATGTTTACACCCTTTTAACTCTTATATGAAAACGCCTGTCTCTGCATTGCTTTACTAGAGCATCAGCCTACAGATGTTAAAACCGTGTAAAATTGGCCATGTAAAATTGGCCAGTAACAGGACAATTTTATTGAGCAAGGCTAGGCCAAAATGTATTTGAGATACTAGCCACAGGCGGATGTTTCACACAAGAATAAAGAATTTCAAGTCAAAGAGGAAATAGCAAGCAGCAGGACAGTATTAAAGGGCAAGGCAAGGCCAAAGTGTAGAGACACAAGGCACAGGCATTGTTTTCCTATAATAAATAAGAGTGTCAGCATGTAGATGATACAACTATGGCAGGAAAGTTTTAATTACACAGAATAGGCCTAAATGGTGTATGCTTTTTTATGAGGATGGGAGGGTGGGGTTACTGAATGTGAATGATATAACGTGAGATGGTTTAGATGCACATTGCTTATGCATTTTTTTTTTTGGTAAGATGGTCAGAAAAATATATATACCACAATGTGACCGCCCAGAGCCTAAAAAAGCCTTATCAACATAAAATAAAAATAAAATTACCCATAAAATTAAAGAAAACTCTAAAAATCAACAGCTAAAACAAAAGCCCACAAGACCCCGCCACTGAAATTCAAAGAAGTAAAGCAGTTTGCTAGCTGACCCTAATTTCTCTCTACATAGTTAGTCAGTTCTACCTATCCTCTACCTACACCAGCTCCAAGATACCAGGGCAGTTAATTTCAAAACAACAGGTTTTGCACTAAACCATTTGCTTAAATTCCTTTTTTATGCTATCAGAAAGGATCATTGTCTATGATAATATTAATTTTATGGTCACAAAATAAATTTGTATAAATGGTATTAAACAACTTTGTTCCCAGGTGCCAGGAAAACGATTATTATTTTCCTGGGGAAATTGTGCACATATTAGAGTGATGTACTGTTTGTGTGTGTGTGTATGTATTGAAGTAATGTACTGAGTGAATGTGTGTGTGTTTGCCCTGGAATACATTTTAAAAGTAAGTTCAAGGCTAGGTTCAAGGCTTTGGATTCAGTTAGGACTAGGGTTAGGGTTAGGACCAGCGTTAGGTTGCTAGCTACTTAGAAAATGTTTCAGCACAGATGAAAGCAATGTTTGCTCACTGTCTTTGTTTAGTACATGAAATCAGAAAAATGTATACACTGCAGCTGATAAACTCACGTTTAGGTGCTGTTCAGCGTTTTTTTCAGCAAGCCCTGAACTCACCCTAATGTTTTCCTATATGTACATGTACACATCTTTGTTTACAGTCATTTACAGGCAGATAAGTTTACAGTCATTTTTTTTAACGCAACAAACTTGCATTCAGATGTCGATTTTCTCAACGTTCCAAATGTGAAATGCTTGTAAACGCTTATAAACGTGGCAAATCGCATTTAGAAGCGTTTGCGTTTGAAATTTTTTTTTTAACTCTTACAGTTTCTGATGCTGTCCAGAACCTTTTTACATCATGAATAATGCATGCAAAGCATTTTCAAGGTGCTCAGATGGACAAAACACTGAACACAGGATGTTCCTACCAAGCTTGTCACACATTTTAATGACCAATTCACACCTCAGACATCTCCCACCCTTGGAAACAAAAGATATGTTAATGACCATTCAGACCTCTAATTCCTCATGCAGTCCCCCTGCCAGGTGACCTTAATGACTCACTCCACCAGACACCTATCCCACCCTTGGAAACAAAAGAAATGTTAATGACCATTCACACCTCAAATTCCTCATGAAGACCCCCTGCCAGGTGGACTTAATAACTCACTCCAGCACACACCTGTCCCACCACTTGGAAACAAAATAAATGTTAATGAGCAACTCACACCTAGCTAATGTCAACACATCCTGCTGTGTCTGCTTCTACTCTGTGTATTTCTCTGAAACAGTCTGAAATAGTTAATAATTTACCATTTTTCAGTGCATTCTGGGCATTTGGGAGGTTCTCCTGTGTTTTTCGTTAAAAAAAACGCTTCTAAACGGAAACGCACATAAACACGGTATGCAAATCGCGGCAAAACAGATGTTTTTTAACCTGCGTTTTCCTGCTGTCACAATTTCCAGCATTCAGAAGTGTTCTCCAAACATCCCGTGTACATGAGCTCTAATGCCAAAAAACATGTACTGAAAATCACAGCAAAATTAACTTAGATGTCATGAGAAGCGTAAAACATAATAATAAGTAAGCCAATGCTGTGTACAAGCCATGAAAACTACCAAAGGTATTAAGATGTAACACACTTTTGGGCATTAAGAACTAACAAATGAAAGAGCATAGGTCAAGGTCATCAAGTGGAACTTCAGCTCCTACCAGCCACCCCAATCTTTAAAAAAATAACAAAAACAAATACCCCATGCAAACAAGGTCCTACCTGTTTTTGGTGCCATTCACTTAAAAGCTAATATCAGCTTTGACTCATAGAACATAGGCTGAATTAAATTGAGCATCATTCGACCCTAAAGATGAATGGCACTTGACCATAAAGTGATAAGTCTATGGGGCACAGCACCAGGGATAAGGACTTTTTTTATTTTACCAGTAAAGTATAGTTGCTGTAAAAATACAAAATCAAAGTATAATGCAGAACCATTGATAAAAATACCTGTATATTATCAATATGTATTAAAGTAACACATTTTTGTGTATTGTTTTTCAGCTGCTTTGGACAAGGAAGTGGAACCATTTGCATTGCATGTATCAACTTCAATAGATTCTCATTTTTTCTTTCAAGACCTCTATCAATTTTTCTCTCCCATTTTCATGAATTTGCTATCTATTGCGTCACTTAATAATAAATACAAAGCATTTACCCTTGTAAAATTGTGTTGTGTAATTAATCATTTTGGTCCTATGTGTGTCTTTTGTGTGTCAACTATAGCATTGATATGTGCATAAAGCAAATATTAACAATATATGTTAAGACCCAGGTTGTTTTTGTTTGAGTCAGAAAAATAAATTAATTGAAATTAAATGAAATGTGATGGCACTCCCCATGCTGCTGCAATTTGTTCTCTTTATAGGATAGCAGCAGGGTTCAACTCTGACCTGTTTCAAGTGGAAAAACCAAAAAAATCATATACACTGATTAAATTCATATGCCTTACAGTTACCTGTTACAGTATATTATCAGTCTCCTACAGAAATTGTTAATTATTTCTAAACAAAGAAGTGCTTTAAAAACATCATACTCTTATAAAAATGATACATTTTGTTTTCTGTTAGAATAGTTTTCACATATGGTTATCCAGCTACAAACAAAATCGCAAAAACAGTACAACATTGTTCATTTTATACAAAGCCCTATGGTGATATCTTATGGCCAACCTAAAACCTATGAAAAGACAGGACCCAGTAAAAAAAAAAAGATCCTATATGACTAGGGGAAGAGGAAGAAGAGAAAGGCAGTTCTAGGCGTGATATAAAAAAGCAGTTGTAAGTGGAAAAAGCTTGCTAAAAAGTCAATTCTAGCTGCAGAGATTAAAGAAACAGGCATTGTTAAGTGAATTATTGTATGTTAAATCCAGAACTGTTTTCATTGGATTGCTTCACACAGATTGATGGGGATATACATATAGGTTAAAACAATAATGAATCTGGTATATTAAAAAGAAAAAGAAAAGGAACATATTGGTAGAAGGAGAGAGCAGAGTGAGCAAAGAGGTAACTCAAAATGTAGCCAAATGCAAAGATATCACTACTTCTACATTGGTTCCACTCTGTACCTGCTAGCAGTGGACAGGCTTTTGTATTCCGTCTGTTGCTACTGTAAAAAAAAAAAGAAGCATAAAGCTGGCCATAGACAGTTCGAATCTCAGCTGATTCAGCAGGGACTGCCTGAGATCCAAACCATGTATGGGCAGGCTGATTGTTTCCAAGTTGATTGATTGATCAACTTGGGTACAACTAGACTGTGGGATTTTTCATGTGATTATTGTCAGAGGCTATAGCCGCTAGCAGTTATCACTGTATGCTCACCCACCAGGGATGACTCCCCCACCTGGAGCACAAAATAGCTCTGCTCCAATTGTCTTTCCTGCAATCCGTGGTGGAAGGAAAGAAAATTGCACCATCTATGGTTGGCTTAAAACACTGAGCGCCTTTTGTTTTGACAAACCTGGAATATATTTAGGAGATTTAAACTAATTATTCAATTGTGCTTTAAATAAAACCACTTGCTGTGTGACAATGGGTTTAACACCATTTATTTAATAATTATTACACAACTATTAAAAAATCCAAATAATTATAACACAACTTTAATAGCCAGGAAGGGGATCATTGGTCAAAGATAGAAAAACCCCAGTATTCAGTTACATCTCACTGCTGTGCTCAAACTTGAAGTATCCTGGGATCCAAGCCCTAAGGGAACCATAAAAATCACCAAAACAGGGGCTGCATATGAAGACTCATGATAATTGCAGACCCCTTAAAGCGTAATTTTAGCCATAAAAAACTTACAGATAAAAAAAAAATGTGTGCTGTAAATTGCCTTCAGCATTGCCCGTTTCTTCTTGCTGGAAATGTCTTTAACAAATTGTTTTACATTCATTTTAACAATGCATTAGCATTATTGCAGTCGCAGAACTACCAGGGTCGCAAAGGTCGCACTTTTCCCATTATAGGCATGAGTGGGCCTCATGTCTAAGTTTTGCCTAAGGCCTCACAAAGCCTAGAGCCGCCTTTGCCAGCATGCATTTGTACCTGAGTGCCAATTTACTCACCCTGTTAAGATACAGGCAAAGGATTCTTTAAATTCTTTTCCCACAAGTCTGCGGGTTTTTGGACATGCCTAGGGAAGATAAACATCTCTGTTTCCCTCCCTAAGCAGCTCAGAGACTGCTCTGGAGATTGAAACCCCACACCCAAAGATGTGAGTCCAAAATTAAGTTTACTGCAAATATTATTTGGGTACAGCAGCCACTGCCTTTTGAGCACCCAAAATCGCCCCCTTCATCAGAACTTAATAGAAATGGAGTTAACCTCCCTAGAGGTCTGATTATGTCCATATTTCTGTGGTCAAAGCGGTAAATTTTTTTGCATGGAAATATGTATTTTTTTTTGTTGGCCTGTAGTTTTCAGGAATAACTCACTGAAATCTGTCCGAACAAGAGTCTAGTAAACATCCCGGGTATTGTACAATTTGAACCACGAAATAATAAATTATAATTTAATAAATAATCATAAAAAATAATAATATAATAATAAATTTAATTCCATAATATAATCAAACCAAAAACACTGAAATTTGAAATATAGCGCCACGTTCGCACATCACAGACCAAAGTCGCAAAATCGTTTTCAGTGTCTGATGACGAATTTCCCCACTAATCATTATCACTCAATTCTGCAAGTGGTTCTGATTTTCTATCGCTGTTCTCTAGCTGGTCTAAAACCGATTTTGACCTAAAGGGATGCTTTTTGGACGCTATGGATGTTTCTCAGTTTCCAGGCAAAAAGAACAGTAAAAATGCAGACAGGGCACAGGACAAAGCACTAGGGACAACATGTATGTGAAATGGTTTGATACAGTAATATTTTACTATGTTATTTTAGTGAATTTAGTGAATGTCACTTTTTGTCATTTTCAAATTTCCCGCCGGTTCCGTCCCCTGTACGTCCCGATGTCGCAGGGGATAGAACCCAGATGACATATGCCGGTATCTGCCGGAGGACATTGCCGGGGACATTGCAGGAGGGACATCGCGGCAGCGCAGGACAAGGTAGGTGAAGAAACAGGTCCCGGACCAGCGCCGCTTGGTAAGCCAGAGTGTAGCTCGGGGTTACAGTTTTTGGTACTGAAACTTTACCCCGAGCTACACTCGGGAATACCGCCAGGGAGGTTAATAGGGACTCAGAGATAACTGTGAACTGAGATGTGTGTGTACACAGTGGAACACAATGATATTCAACTGCTGTTACTGAAACCAGGGTTGATTGTCACTGTCTAGTGAACCTGTTTACTTTTTTTTTTATAGATTATGAAGGATGGTTTCCAAGATCACTTACACATATATCCATTAGAAATCAACAACCTCATTATCAAGAGGAGAAAAGTTATAAAAATAATGTAAATAGGAGGTGAATTAAAAAAGAATGTATATGGCCTTCAAGGGCTGACAATTGATTGCCATAACCTAGCATCGTCTAACTCAGAAATAAAACTTTTTAAAGACAGTTGCAAGACCTCCCTAAAAAATTAACTCATTAAGAATTTGTACAAGCTCTGCATCAAGAAACATTATTTTCTGCCATTACAGAATGACTTATCAGTTTAACTGGGACCTATAGAGGATGGAGCTGATTGGTAGGGAAGATATACTATACTGTAGGTCACTTAATAAACTCCCACGGCTTTAAGTACCATCTCTATGCTGATGACACACAAATATATCTTTCTACGCCTCACTTCACCCCTTCAGTCTCCATTTGCATTATTAACCTACTAAGTGACATATCGGCATGGATGTCACTCCGCTTCCTCAAACTCAATCTTTCCAAAACTGAGCTCTTACTATTCCCTCCAGCCCGTGCCCCCTCCCCTGACTTCTCCATCAAGATCAATAACACAATCATCAGTCCCTCCCTTCATGCCAGGGTACTAGGTGTAACCCTAGACTCCCATCTGTCC